TTGAGTAGAGCTAGATGGTAGTTTGAGTGTGTTTTATAATTATATAAATGCATAACTATTTACCTTCTCACATGCATTCCCTGTTTGGTTATGAAAGTAAAATGCACGAAAATCACATTTGTATCACTTGAGTGCCAGTCCGTCAACAGTCACAGTTATACTATGATGGTGATAGGGAACCTATAAAAGACATTTGTGGTGATACACCAGGCCTCCAGACCCTCTGGAAGCTGCATGGCCTTGCTTTCTCACAGCTTCTGAGGCATACAAAAATCATGCAAGCATTCTCATACAATTTTCTGAGGCCTTGAAGGATCCAGAGAAAGTCTAGAGAAGGGGAGAGTTCAGAGAGGACGTCTGGAAAGGCCTCTTTTGTCCAGGGTATGTATGTGAGACACACCAGCAGAGTTAAGGTAGGCGTTTTCTGAACTTTTGACCCACTACATAACTTTTATAGTATGCAAAACTTTAGAAAGTTGGTCTAATTCAACTTACATAGGCGATACAGAATTTATTCTTGGATAGGATAAATTTAGATCTTTGGCGCTAGTCAGTTCAGGAAAGTAATGGGGTCTTAGCATACAGTTTTCTTCATCTTTTCAAAATCCATGAAGAAAACTCAATAATAATAATTTGAAAGTAGCTACTGGTGCTTCCCATATAGCACATCTGTTTACTTGATGAGCCCCGGTTAATTGATATAGAAATCCTGCAATGTTACTAAATTGGATCCAGACTGCATTATATTACTGTAGAACGGACTGTAATTGACAATTATTTCATGGTTCATCATGGTTAGGTTTGGATACAACTACTGTGTGTTGTGATGAGTGCTTTGTATTTGGGTGTTGGTTTTCAAAAGAGAGAGAGGGAAAAAAGGAAGTGCATTAAGTATTTCCTTGAAACTCTGCTTGGAAATAATCATCCATAACTGGCTTTCTATGGTAACATGGAGAAAATCATAGAGTAAGTGATGTCTGCTGGTATGATTTCATTATTACATGATATGATATTCTCAGAAAAGAATGGGGTCTTCATTAAATTCCACGGCTAAATTTCCACCCAATAGAAGAATGGGGTTTGCAGTCTACTGGCATAAGACGCAGGTTTTTTGAACAATTCTTCCTACGCAGTGTGGATGCACAAGCACCAAATGGTGTCTCCTGAGGTGTAAAAATCTGGAAAGGAAAGATGCATACATTTGAATCATAGGTCTCTAACTTAGACTTTCATTATTATCAAAAGAGAAAGCAGGACAATGTTTCTTCCTGCATAGTCTCACAAAGGATATAACTTGACTGGATTTCACCTCCTAGGTGACTCCGGTAATTCAGAAAGAGCTAGATTATTAATAAAAATGTCAGGGTTGTGCTTTACTGAATAATAATCATTTTTCAGATTTAGTCAGACCAGGTAGCTAGTAAAATAAGCTCAACAAATAGATGGAACCAGGAGATAATCTGGACTAATCTTCCGTTGGCTTCAAGATTGTTCAGGTTTACTCCTGTAAATTCAGATCTTGAGAAGACATTCTTCCACTTCTTCAAATAACTTCCATGATCGTCTTCTTCCAGTGTCAGGAATTCTTGGTGTCAGAATTTTTTTATTTCTTATGTGTTTGGTTCATTTTGTTTGGAGGCTAAGTGACCCAAAGTAGGTTCAATTAAATTTGTATTAAATGATCCCACTCTTCCCAGTGTGCAATCCATAATAATAAATACTGTAGTTTGGATGACCAAGAAAAAGTAATTCTCACCTCTTTGTCATTGGATATTCCCAGTTTTTCTAAATTTGTCACTGAATAGTGGATGTTAGACAGGATCACTTCTACCTCTTCAATCTGAAAATACAAAAATACCAGTATGACTTATTAAGAAATCATTTATACAGATTTAACATAACAGATAAACTCAATAAAGTAGACTGACTCCTGATATTTATAGTTTTTGAGTTTGATGGTTTCTTGAATTATATGAAATATTTTATTTTATTTACTTAAATTTATATCCTGCCATTACTTCCAGAGCTAAAGAAAGATTGCAATGAGTTCTCCATTCATTTTATTCGCCACACCGTAGAAACTGAGCTTGCTGAGGCTAGCCATAGACATATAGTGAGTTTTCATAGGTGAGGGTGACTTGAACGTGGGTTTCTACTGATCTAGTCCATCATCCTTGATTATTACACTACCCTGGCCCATCAGATATTCTTCTCCAGGTAACCTTTATTCAGAATTTAGGCTGCCAGCTACCAACAGCAAGCTATTTTCAGTGACTAAAATTCCACTTGTAAAAAAGCCTTTAACCTTGGCAACATTTCAGTGGATCAAATCTATTTTCATACTGAGATAGTATTAGTTCAGATATGTACAGTAAAATGTTATTTATTTTTATGGCAACACCATCCATATTTGTCATTTCTTAGTTGTAATGGAGTGGGTTTAATTTATGGCATTTAAAAGTGATCTTGAATTGAAGACAATTTCACCAAAACAGATTAGGTAGGAAAAACCTCTGCTACTATGCTTTATTTTCAGCCAGTCTAAGATGAAGATCCTTCCTTTATAGATGGGGGAAATGGTCTTTCTTTCAGGTACAAGTATATACGTTCCATACTTCCCTAAAGGGTGTTTGGCCCTGAAATAGGAAGAGTGAGTAATATCTTTGCCTTTGTCCATTGGGGAATCATTAAAAAAAAAAAAAGAATGGGCTCCATAACTATAACATAGCATAACACACTGAAAGCCCCAAATGAAATAAAGTTACTGGCCTGTGGGATTCTTTCCAGAATGTATGTCTGAATACAGTTGACTGTCTTCTGATAAGAAGGTGAGTAATGGCCTGTTTCTGGTGGACCAGCAAAAGCATCAAGGATACTTTCATGAGCAGTTCTCCTTTAAAGTAAAAAAACAACAACATACAGCATTTGGAATCAAACTACAATGGGTAAAAACTATACTTGCAAGGCAACACACATGGCCATTACTGGTCAACTTTGTGTATTGTGCCTATTATCTTTACACTGGGGTAATTTTCATACTGAGGAAATCAAGAGATTACAGTGTATGCTGTGTTTCCCCAAAAATAAGACCCGGTCTTATATATATTTTTTCACCAAAAAAGGCACCAGGTCTTATTTTTTTTGGGGGGGGTGTTCTAATTACTGACTCACTTCGCAGCAGCAGCACAGGCCCCACCCAGCAGAAGCCGGCTGCCAGCCCACTTCTTCTGCAGCTGCTGCTCGCGTGCGTCACCCCCATTTTGCCATCAGAGGCCTTCCGGAAAGCCCTCTGCAGCTGATAAAAGAGCTCCGGCTCTGTTATCAGCTGCAGAAGGCTTTCTGGAAGGCCTCTGATGGTGAAACGGAGGCTGGGGGCAACACACACGTCAATCCAAACCTCGTTTCTTGGCTGCAGAGGGCTTTCCGGAAGGCCTCTGATGGCGAAATGAGGCCAATGAGGCACCACACGTGTCCATCCAGAGCCTATTTATTGGCTACAGAGGGCTTTTTGGAAGGCCTCTGATGGCGAAATGAGGCCAGGCGCACATCAATCCAGAGCCTGCTTCTGCAGCCTGTTTTTTCGCTGCCGAAGGAGAATTAAAGGACTTAGCCTTAGGGTCATGTTATAATTTACCTTAAAGAAAGTTTGCATATTTACAGTCTGAGTACAACTATCAAAATACAAAAAAATCCAACAATTTTAGAATAATACAGCAATCTAGAACTGTGGATAATCCTAACCTCATCTAATCTATACAGTAGAAATCACAGACAGTGCAATAAAAGAACTGAGAATAAAAACAACAGATTCCAAAATTACTATGAGATTTGGAGAAAGTGAATGATCAATGCAATATCTGGGAGCAAAAGCAGAAGTGAAATTTTCAAACTGTAATCTTTTAATGCTGAGCCGATTGAATGAAAGTGTGCATTAGCAGACAAAAGAAATGCCCATTTATACTGCAGTCAAAACTAGTAAAAACTTGGAATTGTTTTTATAATGCCAGTGCCTTTACAGCATGGGTATCAAACTCGCCACATCACATTGCTGTCACATGAAGTTTCGTGACATTTTCCCCCTTCGCGGAGCTGGGGTGGGCATGGCCTATGCGTGATGCATCTGGCCTGCAGGCCACCAGTTTGACATCCTTGCTTTATAACTATGGAGAAAAAGCCCACTGCAGACCACATATGATAATTGATTAAAAATAATGAATTAAATACAGTAATCTTTGATTAGCCAATACAAGTGCAAGACTTTTATATGCACAATGGTGGAAAGATATGACAATACCCACAATGGAAGAGTGAATGGGAAAGATGATAGAACTTCTTCAAATGGTAAAATTGACAATTTTGAATAGAGAAAAGACATTGATTAATTTTAATGCTGATTGGAAAGCCCTTTTGGACTTTTTTGCCTGAGACAGAAAAAAACTGAAATTATGATATATAGGTTTGGTGACTAGAAAACTTAATAGATAACAGGAAAAAGTTATATGATCTTAGAGGAAAAGGTTAATTTAAATGTATCCTTAACAGTTGTTATAAAAAAATCTTTACATTTCTTTATATTTCCTTTCTTTCTTTCTGTACTTTTGGCTTTGTTCTTTCTTCATTTTTTTCTTTTGCATAATTATTACTTTCTGTCAGTTTTTAATATTTTTAATGTAAAAAAATTCTAGTTATTACAAATTTTTAAAAGTTATTTTGAAAGAAATGGAGTCAAACCACAAGAAATAAAATGCTTGAAAAAATAAGTCAAGAGTACTGTGAGTCAAAATGATCCTCAAATACAGGTAGTCCTTGACTCCTGACCGCAATTGAGTCCAAAATTTATGTTGCTAAGTGAGACATTGGTTAAGTGAGTTTTGCCCCATCTTACGACCTTTCTTGCCATAGCTTTTAAATGAATCTCTAGTGGTTAACAACCCAGTTGTTAAGTGAATCTGACTTCCCCATTGACTTTGCTTGTCAGAAGGCCTCAAAGAGTGACCACATGATTCTGGGACACTGCAACTATCATAAATATGAGTCAGTTGTCAATTGTCTGAATTTTGATCATGTGACCATGGGCAGAGGCGGTATTCAGGAGGTTCTGACCAGTTCTGGAGAACCGGTAGTGGAAATTTTGAGTAGTTCGGAGAACTGGCAAATACTACCTCTGACTGGAGATTTTACAGTATCCTTCCCTTGCCACGCCCACCAAGCCACACCCACAGAACCGGTAGTAAAAAAAATTGAATCCCACTACTGACCATGGGGATGTTACAATGGTCATAAATGTGAAAAACGGTCATAAGTTACTTTTTGCAGTTACCTTGTGACTTTGAATGGTCATTAAATGAACTGTTGTAAGTTGAGGACTATGTGTATGGAATTTTATCACAACCTCCTTAGCAAAAGATCTTCTTATTTGTTGCTAGTTTTAGTCTTGTTTTATGTAAGCCCTTTCCTCCACTGTAAAGACATTTCAGAGGCCCCATTACTTATAGGAGAATCCCTACAGAACGTTTTACTTACCATATAGAATCATAATCAAGGCCATCCAAGCAGTCACCATAGCACCATTTGATGAGTGTTTCCACAGACAACACTCTGTCTATCCTTTCTGGAAGTGTGGTGTATCTTTCTTTAAGAAAGCCCTGAAATCCAGATTGGGTTGTTTTCATAAGTTTTAGATCCTTAATGCCAGAAAAAACAATTGGAGGCTCTAGGAGAGAAAGAGCATGAATTAATTTTAATATAAGACATGATATTCCACAGTTACATATAGAGCTTTTTCCCCCTAAAGATGCAGTGATATCTACAAATCAACTTGCAGACCAGGACAATGAAATTTATCTCCAATTAAGCATGCATTGAACTGTGCTGGCTGAGTATGGCTGGCTGAAAACCAGAACATTCTTGGGAACTCAAATTTTTAAAATGTATTATATTCCTGATTATGAAGTCTAATAATGGATGCCAGGGGCCAAATAAGTTTAAAAGGAAATCTGCGTGTCAGTTTTGGCATGGCATATTTGGATTAATTTGTATAGAAGCTGAGGTCTCTGCTTTGATTGAAGAGATCAAAATTTGCCCTTTTTTAATGAAAAGGCCTAGTAAATCAAAGCACATATCATTAAGGCAACATCATTTTTCTTACAGGCTCCAATTTTATTGTAAATTCACAAAATTATAGGAATTGAGAGGAGTATTAAGATCATTCAACATGCTCTGGATTGATCCAAATATTTAGTTCAGTTCTGATTTCAAATATTACCATTGCAGAGTAATTGTCACCAAAAGGGGCTGTAGCCTATTGTAGATTCTGTTGCCCATGTGCAGTTTATATGTTTACTTATGCTTTTTTTTCCATTGATATCCGGAGTTATCAATCGTTAAGAACCAAATTATTGCACAGATTAAAATAGCATTTTAAAAGATTACAAACATTACATGTTTACCTCACGATCGGTCACTTAACAGGCATTCGAAGTTACAACAAACCTCCCAAAAGCTACTTCCCACCAATTTTGAAGTTACAGCCCTCTCTCTCTCTCTCTCTCTCTCACACACACACACACACACACACACAAAAAGACGTGTGTGCATTGCATGTGTGCAATGATCATATTTTGAATGCTTGGCACCTGGTTCACCGTTACAGCCATTTGCAGCATCCCAGTCACTTGGTGGCAATTTTATTTCTGGTTTCTGGCAAAAAAAATGCGCATTGGATAAAATTGATTCACTTAAAACCCCTGCTAAAAATATTGTAAATTCAAGTCTGGTCACTTGGTGACCCACAACAATGTACAACCATCATTCCAGGTACAATTAAAGTCATAAGTTGACTACCTGTATTAAAATGATCATACTAGATAAATCCCATAGTATATTACTGGCAGCTTCCGAAGGACTTGTAGATTTTACAAGAGGATACAGGGTTATAATATATTGTTTGGGTGATTGAATGATTGGTTCATTGGTTGGTTTCCTATCTCAAAGCAGAATACATTGCAATATCTCTTCCAACTTTTTCCCAGACCAGCAACCTTATGGGGTACACTGTGCTGAGAGAAAGTTGACCAGCCAAAGTCACCCAGGGAAGCTTTCACTGCTGAGAATGGAAGAACAGGATTTATATATTCAAGAAAAGGGTACAAGTCTGTATTTGCTTTGTTACTTGCTTTTTTATATCGGTTCTGGTCTTCAAGAATAACATGAATGGATTTATCTTGTTTACAGGCTACCATTGCAGATATGAACCTAATGTTTCTACTAAAAGAATTGAAATCATTTCCTTACTGTCCTGAGTCCGTTCCACTTCACAAAACCGAATTCCTTCAGAACTGTAGAGAAAAGCATGCGCATGGGGAGTATTGTCCTAGAAATTAAGGATGACATATTGAAGTTGCAAATAAACTATTTGACCCTACACTTGGAATTCATACAAATAAAGGAAAGCGCTCACTCACCATGAACTGTTGCTCTCCTTGCCAAGCTATTGTACTACTAAAACTTTCCCTGCCCTTGTCATATGCCATATTTCTTCCCTGCCATTGTCCCTTCCCTAGCTTTGTGCAGGGAATGTGGCCCAAATGTATGCTTCATTATACCTTTTCTAGGCGCTGCCAGGGAACCTCTTGGATAAAGGCATTGCAATACACCACGTGACAAAAGGCTTTAATGAA